CTCCTCCTCCTCCACCACCACCACCACCACCACCACCACCACCTCCTTCATCTTCTCCTTCTCCTTCTTTCTTCTTTCTTCTTCTAGAAAATGAATAACTGGAAGCGCTTTTTTTTCTTCTTTTACAGATAATTTGCATGTAATCTGTTGATTTCAACCTGGCAATTCTGGATATAAATGAAGAAATCGAGAGTTGATACACAGATATAGTTGCACTTGTCTTTTTTTTTTCATCTAATTGCTAATTTTGCCTTTTCCTCCCTCCTAAACCCTCAGGCTTGAAGATGCAGTGGACGCCAGAACATGCCCAGTGGCCAGAGCAGCACTTTGACATCACTTCGACCACCCGCTCTCCCGCCCACAAGGTAGAAGCTTACCGTGGCCATCTTCAGCGCACCTATCAGTATGCCTGGGCGAACGATGACATCTCTGCTCTCACAGCCTCAAATCTGCTAAAGAAATATGCAGAAAAGTATTCTGGAATTTTGGAAGGGCCAGCCGAACGTCCCATCCTGGGTAACTATGTGGAGCCTCCATCAGGGCTGGTGAATGGTCGCAAAAGTGAAAGTGAGCCGTGGCAGCCTTCTTTGAACTCTGAGAGTGTTTATCCTATGAACTGTGTCCCAGATGTTATTACCGCCAGCAAAGCTGGAGTAAGTACTGCTCTCCCTCCGGCAGATGTCTCTGCCAGTATAGGGAGCTCCCCCGGGGTGGCTAGCAACCTGACAGAACCTAGTTATTCAAGTAGTACATGCGGAAGTCATACAGTCCCTAGTCTGCATTCAGGGCTCCCATCTCAGGAATATGCCACAGGATATAACGGATCGTACCTGCATACAAGTTACAGTGGCCAGCCAGCACCTGCACTTCCTTCACCTCATCCCTCTCCTTTGCATAGCTCTGGGCTTTTACAGCCACCCCCTCCACCACCGCCGCCACCATCCCTAGTGCCAGGCTACAATGGGACATCTAACCTTTCCAGTTATAGCTACCCGCCAGCAAGTTATCCCCCTCAAAGTGCTGTTGGGGCTGGCTACAGCCCTGGTGGAGCACCACCTCCTTCAGCCTATCTGCCTTCAGGTATCCCTGCCCCAACTCCTCTGCCCCCCACCACAGTACCTGGTTACACCTACCAGAGTCATGGCTTAACGCCCATCGCACCGTCAGCCCTGACCAATAGCTCAGCAACTTCTCTCAAGAGGAAAGCTTTCTATATGGCAGGGCAAGGAGAAATGGACTCCAGCTATGGAAATTACAACTATGGCCAACAGAGATCTACACAAAGCCCCATGTACAGGATGCCCGACAACAGCATTTCCAATGCCAGCAGAGGGAATGGCTTTGACCGAAGCGTTGAATCCTCCTCCTTGGCCTTTAAGTCAACCAAACAAATCATGGCTTCCGAGCAGCAAAGGAAATTTAACCAGTCCGGTCGGGCTCTGACGCCCCCTTCCTATAGTTCTGCTAAAAATTCCCTTGGTTCCAGAGCAAGCGAGCCCTTTGGGAAGTATAGCTCTCCTGTCATGAACGAACACAGCGAAGAACACAGGCAGCTTCTTCCCCATCCAATGCAAGGCCCGGGACTTCGTGCAGCTACCTCATCCAATCACTCTGTGGACGAGCAACTTAAGAACACTGATGCACACCTCATGGACCTTGTGACCAATGAGATTATCAGCCAAGGACCACCAGTGGACTGGAATGACATTGCTGGACTAGATTTGGTGAAGGCTGTCATTAAAGAGGAGGTTTTATGGCCAGTATTGAGGTCAGATGCATTTAACGGGCTGACTGCTCTACCTCGGAGCATCCTCTTATTTGGACCTCGGGGCACAGGCAAAACATTACTGGGGAGATGTATAGCTACCCAACTAGGTGCCACATTTTTCAAACTCACAGGTTCTGTTCTTGCCACAAAGTGGTTGGGGGAAGGAGAAAAAATTGTGCACGCTTCCTTCCTGGTGGCAAGGTGCCGACAGCCCTCGGTGATTTTTGTTAGTGACATTGATATGCTCCTTTCATCCCAAGTGAGTGAAGAGCACAGTCCAGTTTGTCGGATGAGAACCGAGTTCCTTATGCAGCTGGACACCGTGCTCACTTCCGCTGAGGACCAAATAGTAGTCATCTGCGCTACCAGTAAACCGGAAGAAATAGACGAATCTCTTCGAAGGTACTTCATGAAACGACTTTTAATCCCACTTCCTGACAGCACAGCCAGGCACCAGATAATAGTACAGCTGCTTTCACAGCACAATTACTGCCTCAGCGATAAGGAGGTTGCACTGCTAGTCCAGCGTACAGAAGGCTTTTCTGGACTCGACGTGGGTCATTTGTGTCAGGAAGCTGTTGTGGGCCCTCTCCATGCCATGCCAGCCACAGACCTTTCGGCCCTTATGCCCAGTCAGTTGAGGCCTGTTACGTATCAAGACTTCGACAAGGCTTTTTGCAAAATACAGCCTAGCATCTCTCCAAAGGAGCTCGATACATACGTCGAATGGAACAAAATGTTTGGTTGCAGTCAGTGACAAGCCGTCTCTCTCTTTTTTAAAATAATAATAATAATAATAATAATAATAATAGTGAAACAAAACAAAAAAAAACAAAAAAATGTAATGAATGTTGGTGCGCGCACACACATATGTACACACAAACCTGTTACCTAGGGCACGCAACCCCTTTTTCAGTCGTGTTGAAATTGTGGAAGGGTACAGGGGTTGGGGGTGGGGAAAGGATCACGTTGCATCTAAAATAGCCAGGTTTAGGCTTGAAGAAATAGTGCATCCGAGGAGAGCTGTCGATCTGCGAAGCCACAGATGATGATGATACGATGTTGATGTTCCCTTCCATTCCGTTCAGACTAGACAACACACTCTCATCATGGAGGGGTTGATTTTTTTTTTTTTTTTTAGAAGGACATGAACCCTGTGTATTGAATCATTCTGCTGTTTTTGAGATTTAGTTGCTTTCAAGTGCCTAAAGTGGTGCTTTATTTTTTCCCCTTTTTTTCCTTTCTTTTTGTTTGCCTCACAATTACATTGGTGGCATGTGCTAATATAAAGAGCTTTAACTTCAAAATGTTATGGGACTAAAGACATGAACAGTTGTGTTGTGACAGAGAACCAGGTGTGATATTGGTTTAGTTTTGCTTCCCCGCTATTATAGCTAGTCTAAAAGCAACAGTATTCCTCAATCCTGTCTGTTCTGCAGTATTAAACTAAGAACAGGTAAAACAGGGTAACGGTAATCTGGACTTTAATTTCCACGGTTTGTTTTGTTTATTGTTCTGTCTGCAAAAAAAGGAAAAAAAAAGAAAAAAAACTCAGGAAAGTGATTGTGATTTGTACAGTACCTCAAAGGAATGTGTTGAAAGCACTATGTACTGCTGAGATTTAATAGGCTAGGCTTCAATGTTACTTTATCTTAAATATGTATGTTTACCTCAACGGTCGGGAAAAAAAAACGAGAAATATTTTGAATGTATTAAGGAGCAAGCTGAAGCATGCTAAAACGATAATCTTTAAAATTTTGAAAATACAACAGGAGTATCCCAGTGTTTAAGAAACATTTCTTTCTTTCTTTTTAACCAATATTGGGGATCAAATTGGAGCAAGGTGATTTTCATGGCAGTCATGTGTGGAAGTCCTTAGTCCTTGACAATTTTGTGACAAGTCAGTAGAGAGCGCACAGACAATAAAAGAACCCCCCCCCCCCCACACACACACACCTTTTGAATCATCTAGGACAGTCAGAGACGAAATCTGATTAGGATTCTGAGAGGCAAATTACCTTACACCACAAGATACAACTTTTATATCTTAGTTAGGGTTATAGGCATCTTGATTGTCCAAGTGCATCACTAGCACAGAATCCTTGTAGGTCACAGAGAGCTTAGGGGCTGCAGAGCTGTTTACAGCAATGCAGCAGAGAGCGATCAAACAAAACAAAACAGAAACAAGACAAAATTGAACCCTCAAATGGCATCTCTCTTCCTCTTTGCTTTGCATTTTCACCACCAAATGAAAAGTTATCCCTTTGTTTTATGTGTGCTGTTGTTGCCTCTTTCTGTTTTCTTGATGCATTTGTTTTGTTTTTAATGTGATCATTCCATGGTCATTAGAAATTTGCCCGGCTGGAAAATGCCCACACATTTTATTTCTACCTCAGATTTTGTTTTATTTCTCTTAGAGAGGCACATAAAAAACAGGACAAGCCAGATTATCACTAGCGTGCAGAGCTGTTGAAGGTCCTATTAACACATAATCCTAAACAGGCTTCTTTGGAAAGAACTAGTTTTGTGTATGGTGAGAGGTTTTCTCCCAAGTAAGTGTGTGTGTGTGGAATTGCAGTTTTTCTTTCTTTGAAAAAGAAAAGAGGATTGGGAAGGGAATCCTTCTGCCTCTTCTCCCTTTACCCGACCAGGGCAAATGGTGACTGTTTTCCTTCAGGAAAGAGAAGGTAGATAGGATGTGTGGCATTTTATTCTATTTGTGCCCCTGCTCCACATTGTCTCCCTTTTTTTATTCTTTAATGCTTTTATGAGCAATTCTTTTCATGACAGCTGACTGATGCTGTAATGTCGCCGAACAGTAGAGCAATTCAAACCTTCGCAGCCACGCAAGCAGAGAGCAACCTCTCTCCCTCCCTCTCTCTCCCCTCCCTCCCTTTCTCTTTCCCTCTCTCTGTTTTTCCCCCCATGTAATCTTTTGTTTACTTTAAAGAAACGGCAGCAGAACAATTAGAAGTTATTGGCATTTAATGTTACTTTTAAATAATGTACCTTCAAATCCATGAAATAAATGCACTGAAGAGCTCTAATGAGAAAAAGACCAATTAGTCACCTACTTATTTTGTCTTTAAAGCTACTGCCCAATTATTACACTTGGTGTTTCTTCAGCTAAAATGTTAATTTTCATTGCTAAAAACTGAGCAAATAAACCAAAATGCACATTCTAGAAGTCCTTTTGTTCATTCTAAACTTCTGGGTTGCTTCTAAAAGGCAGAGGAGTTCATTAAAAAGTTAAAACAGTGCCTTTCACTAAGGATATAGTAAAATAAGTCTTAATAAATGCTTTGCATTTTCAATTAGCAAAGGTCTTTCTTTTTCTGTTTTTTTTCCTCTCCCGTCTATTTCTTCCATTGTATCTTTTCCATTTGGGAAGAACCACAATCTCCTTCGCCAGATTCATATTGATCTTGCAGATGGCTTTCTGATACATATTGCTGACCAATCTTCTGACTTTTAGATATCACATTATGCTGTTGTGTTGCCATCCATTTGAAATATTCAAACATGCTTTGAAAAACTAAATTTACAATTGCATCACCTCTGTCTTATACATCCTTTAACGCTAACGTGATCTAATTTTAAGGTGACGCCAAATACATTCAGTTCAGGTATATAGCAACAGAATAATCCCAGTAGCACTTCAGTTTAAGTTGGCTTTGGGATCGGGAGGTGCTCAGTTTAGCTCACATTTTACACTGTGTATGTGAGGAAAAAGCAAATTATTCTTCCAATGAGCTTCATAAATAAAAGACTTAATTGTGAGGTTAAGAAACTTCAAAGAGTTCATCCTCTTCCAAATCCTTTGAATCTTATATTGTGGATTCACTGCTGAAAATATCAGGCCATTTTCTCCCAAATGGTAATTAGCTACAACTAGTGAGGTGTAATGTTTTACCTGACATGAAAATAATAGTTTGGTTTACTGTACTGCCCTCATACAAAATTGAGGCAAGCTATATCCCACTCTCGGCTCTCTGCCAATGGAGATTCCCTGTTAAATAGAACAGTCAGATTTTGTCTGGTTTATTCAGAACCCATTACTTCAACCCATAGTTACAAATACTATCCTTTTTTTTAGCCATTTTTTTTTTTGCACTTTTTAGGCAAATAAGGCCGTTTGTTTCTTCTGCTGCTACATTTAGGCCTGTATGGAATTGCGACCATTCACATTTCATTGCAATCAAAACGCCTTCTAAGAATTTCCTTTCTTTTATGTGGGTGTTCCATACATGAGAAGACTAGCTTTTGATAGGGAGTTTGATATGGCCAAAATATACTAGCATTCTGGAGATGTAAAACGGTTCTGCCGTGTTTTCATTTGATTGGGACTTAGGATTCTGCCTGAGCAGGGCATAAGACAATGAGGTTGCATGGCCAGATTCCACACGAGGCAGATCTCCTACATCTTTATGATAGCTAAAATTCCATCAGCTCAATTCTCCTTTCACTGCAAAACGTAATCATTCAAGGCATACAACTTGGCTTCATCATTTGTTGGAAAATTCTAGGAATAATTGAAGATAATCATGTATCAGATGCTTCCTTTTCTACTTGAGAAAATTTTTTCATTAGGTGAGACTTCATTGTCTCTCTGTCACTCTCCTCCCCACTTCTCCCAGTTTTCTTCTCTGGTGACAAGAACAATTGTAATAACAGAAGAAAAAGCAGGGGATTAGTTTCTGTCAACCAAATTATATCACTGCCAACTGAAATAATGGCACGATAACTTTTTCTATATATTTATAAAGAAATCCTCACTTCTAGCATGCTTCTCTCCAAAATATTGAGGCCATTAAGGATAGTAGTGAAAAGTTTGCTGACTGAGCTAATCAATGGAATGTGAAGGCAGTTTGGGGCTATTTACTTTTTTTTTTTTTACAAAATATTTCTGTATTAGTCAATTTGTATTCTATTCAAATGTAGATAGATGGGCAAAATGGTTTTCCTTGTGCATTTCAAACCCATCAAGGAGGAAATAAAACCTCCCAGTAAAACACATAGGCAAAGCACCATCTGGGAAAGCTAGCTCATCTGTCCAGGGGCTATGCTCTGCAAAATAGTACAAGGTCATTTTATATGGGTTAGCATAATACTTTGCTAGGCAATTTTCAAAAGGAGATAATCTAGTGTAAAAACCCCAATTAATTCCAACAGATGTTGGTAGATGGTAATGTGTTTACATGTCAAAAGCTGCAAATAAAGGTTTCTACTGCCTGAAAATGTTTGAGTAGAGGAACAGTTATAAGTTCCATAATATGTTTCATTCTAATTTAAAAATATAAATCATCATTTAGAAAGTGAAACCTCAGAAATACATGCAAGAATTGAGCAAATTTTGCAGAAACAGATCTGTGCAAGACTATTTTGTTTCGGTGGAACTATCCCTGTATACCTAACCTCTTAAAGGTTTAAGCTTTCTTCCTTAGGCAGATCATGCGCACAAGTTCTATTGATATGATTGCCTAAGAGTCCCTTGTCTATGGAGATTCTCAGTCAACCAGATCATGGTTATCTCAAAGGTTCTTTTTCAAAAGGCAACTGGACTGTCTTTGTTTTTCCTTGAAGGCGTTTCACTTCTCATCCAAGAAGCTTCCTCAGTTCTGGCAGGATAGTGAGGGGGATGGAAGGATCCCTCCATTCCTCTCCTGTCACCATCCTGCCAGAACTGATGAAGCTTCTTGGATGAGAAGCGAAACGTCTTCCAGGAAAAACAAAGTCCAGTTGCCCTTTGCAAAAGCACCT